ATTACATGTAACTGCATTATTTTCTCAAAAATGACAAAAAAAAAAATTCACTGATTTTCTCAGATGATGTCCCATATAGCGTATTTGATTCAAATCATGGATTCAAATCAGTTATTATTATAGATTCAAACCAGTCAGTTTTGAATCAAATCAGTTCAAATCAAATTATATATTTGAACCTGTTCGAATCAAATCAAATCAATTCGAATTCTAATCCGTTCGAATCAAATTATATATTCGATTCGAATTTCATTGATTCGTTCGGAGCCTTATCTATAGTCAAACAATGGATTATAATTCTTATAAAATACTGTACTGATGTTCATTGTTACACAATCATTAAATATTATCTTATTCAAATTATTTGTTTTATTCATTCTGTTTGAATGAAACCCATATAATAAACTTTCAATGCAATTCAAATATTAAAATTAATGAATAAATATAAACTTGAAAATAGAATACCAATTCGGAAATTGATATTTGCATTAGCCACGTCGATCATTATCTAGAAATTCCAAATTTGGGAAGAACCTTGCATCTTTACAAAAAAAACAGGAATAATGATGGTTGAACGGATTTTTCCCGCACAAATTTTTAGTTACACGGGAGAATTCAATGTGCGGAGTGTGCGGGTGTAACATCGTACATTAGTAGTTTTCTGCAGACAGTTTCTAAATTTGTAGAAATCTACATTAGTTACACACTGAAATTTATACAATGCGCAGGGGCTTTCCTAAATTGTATTACCAAATTTGGTAATTGATTTTTATTGTAAAAAGAGCAGCATAGTGGACACTGTTGCAGATCACAAAAAAATGATCAACATAACATATGTTATGGTGAAAGTTCTTGCAAAAGTTTGATTATAAAAGTGTGAGATAATTTTGATCTTGCTGATGATCTGGACTTAGAGAGGCTACAGCTATATTCTAGTGAAGTTTCAGAAGCAACGGGCTCTGTGTAACCGCCTGACTATTATACAAATGACTGTTGCACAAAATGAGTGTCCATTATGCTATTGGAAGCACTAAGTTTTTTAAAGGTCACAATGGCCATTTGAAGATCGGTCCCTTTAGAAGTTGGACAAGGACGTTCTAGGTATTTTAAAAAAATGTTATTTCTAAAAAAAAAAAACAGGCAGTTAAATGGTAAAATATTTACTTGGTTTTTTTTGGTTGCTCTTTGTTTATGTCCTCGTTTGCTTTTTTAGCAGCATTTTTAGAAGATTCCGCATATGGTATATCTATTTCTATATTGACCATTTGTATGTATAAATAGTGTTTAATTAAAATTAAAGTGTAATCAAATAAATATTTTTGAATTCTTTTGAGAAAAGTTGGAACTTTTCTTGGAACAATTACAACATTTTCTCATAATTTATTGGATAATTAATAAACAATTCAATTGTTAATTTATTTAAAAAAGTCATAATCGTTGCAATTTTTATTATTCATTGGACGTGTACATTGTATAACAATTAACAAGTGATGCTTTTCTTATTGGCAAGTGACTTTCTGAGGGGAAAGTATCATTAGAGTTCTATTCATAATACAAATCCTTATTTATTATTCATTTTATCCAAATTCATAACAAACAAAACAAATAAACCTTATTCAAATAGAAGCCTATTACTATCACCACAAGGACTATTAAAGAAAAATAGAACTGATAAAGAAAAATTTTTTAATTGTATTAGATTAGCATATATTATTACTATCAGTTGTATTATTCAAATAAAAATTATTCAAATAGAAACCCTATTCAATATAACCAATTACAAAGTAATAGTTTGCTAATACCAAGGTCCCTATCATTAATTGGCCGGAAAAGCAATAGCCTTTTATTGTTTGCTAAGATCCCTCATTAGTTAACCGAAAAAAATATAATGATTTTATTTCAGTATAATTAATGGTGATGACAAAAAATAGGGATATATACATTAATTTTTTCTTATCCTTCTTGTAAATAATTATTAAATTCGTGTTGGTCTCAACACAGCACGGAAGAAGGCAGAGAAAATTGAGTGAAAGTACAGGTTAAAAGACCAGCAAAAGGAAAAACGGAAGGCTATCAGGCCTCTCTGGGAGTAGAAAAGGTTAAAATGAAAATGAAAATTTCTTCTCAAAAATCAGGTTTAATAAAAGGATGATCTCACATGTCACTCGGCATGGTCCTTTTTGTGAAACTGCAGATTTCTTTTTAGACAAATTAATTCTAAAGTGAGCATTGATTTTATCTTATGCAACAATATATTACTATAAATCCAGCGTTATGCTCCAATGGAACGAAATTGTGGAATTGTGGAAACATTCATTTGATAAATATTGATGATTAAACATTTATATTATTACCTTACAAATGACTTGTTCCTTAACATGTAAATGACCTTCGAGATGTTAATATTAATATAGCAATAGTAATAGATAAAAATTCGTCCTACTTATTTTCGGTTAAAATAATGAAAAATGGGATTATACAATTATTTAATGAATAGAAGTATCCTTTCCCTACATACTTTTTTTCTTTATAATTAAACAATTTTTTTGCAATATCTGTTAATTAATTTATTTGTAAGAATTTTAATTATATTAAATATGAAAGGTAATAAAATTAGCATCCATCCTGACAATATTCTCAATTCATTAGATTCAATTGAAACTTTTAATAAAAAAGAAAAACATAATAATAAAAACAAGGTAGTCAATATATTGAAATCATTTATTAAAAATTTATCAGAAAAAAAGACAGATGATGATAAGTCAAAAAAAGGACACGGTGATAGTGACAGAAGCAATTCGAATATATCAGCAAATGTTGACAATTTCTTTAAAAAAAAAGAATATGGTGATAAAGAAGGAGATAGAAATAATATTGTCTATCTTGATATTCAATCGGATTCATTTACTGATTTACGTGAGTTTTTTAATAAAACAACTGACAATGATAAACAACAAGCAGACAATTTTAATCTATCAGAAAATGCCAATGATATTTATAAAAATAATATGGTCCATTTATTTAGCTATTTATTTAAAGCTTTTAATGAAAAAATAGACAATGGTAAACAATGTCCTAAATCAATATCAATAAGGCAAAAATTTCTGGAAACAAATAATTCAAAAAATCACACCAAACCGAAGGTATTTGTGCAGGAACTTTTATTCAGATTAGCAAGGACCAAAGTTACTATAAAGTCATGCAATAAATTTAAAGTTAGAAATTACGATTTTATTTTAAAAATTCTACAATAAGAACAAAGCTGCTTTGCCTTAAAATGGGGGCATGTCACCCCAAAAATTATTTACTTATTAATTTAAAGCAGCTTTTCTTTTTATTGCGAATAACTAATATACAAAATGTCATTAATATTAATATTGATATTAAAGTTTATTGATTTATCGACACATATATATAATATTAAAATATTAAATTATTAAATTATTATTGCTTGATGCAATATTTCAAATTAAAAAACTTCTTTAAAACTTTAATTATAATGTTAACGTTCTTTACAATTGCAACAATGTTCCGAATGAATCAATATACACTATAAATTGACCCAATTTAATCATGAAAATTCTTTGTTTCAACAAATTATATACTGTGAGATAGTAAAATGAGGACCGATAGAGAGGTCCCGCGTTGCCGATCCAACCAAACCAAATTACTGCGGAAATCACGTGAAAATTAAATCATTTCTATTTTTATTTTTAACGTTATATTTTGTGAAATACTGTGCCACATATTGCGCAG